ATGAATATCCAGTTAGTGTTCCAGTGCCAAAAATGTAAATGATTTTCCTGTTCCAGAAATGCAGAAACATAGTCCTTTATCTAAAGATTTCTGAATACATATCCTCTCACAATGATTGATTTTTTGGGGTTGAAGCATTTCATCATAGAACTATAATTTGCATAACATAGCCTCTTGGAGGCCAATGTGCTTAACAATAAAAAATTATTGAGAAACATGAGTATGTAGATTATATTTTCTTTACTTTTCTAGATTTGGGAAAGCCTTTTAGATCCTCCCCACCCTGAATCATCTTTACCAATATATACGCAAAATGCAACTGTATTGAATTCACAACTTTTTTCTTTCTCTTTGAAGGCGAGAAAGGATGTGTTAGAGAGAAAAGATGGTGTTAACATCTTGGAGGTTAATGAATACATACTGAAGAATGCTATCCATTATGTTACGGAATCAAGCATGCCTATAGATGAATCTAGTTTTGGGGACTTTACTGCTTCTGTTAGATTAGACACAGAATAGACAAAAACAGTATTACTTGTTACTGAACTGTTTTGGGTTGGTTAACCTGTCTTCTACACAGTTAAAGCTAATGTACAGGGATGCTCATACCAAGTGTGAAAGAGCTAAAACCTCCCTCCTCTCAACCCATTTGATTCATTATCTTCACTGAAACTAAAGATTTTTTTTTGCCCTGATCATTTTCCTGTAAGTCATGTTTGTTCACAAAGAAGTGGTACCTGGAGTGCTCTATTTTTCAGCTGTTCCTGCTTCACTGCACTGCCACAGTCAAGGCCTTTTTTTTTTTTTCTCGAGGTAACAGCAGTCTGAAAGTATATTTTCTACTCTTTCTGCAGTACTGCTACAGGCCTGTCTGTTAAATCTTAAATACTAATGAATCACTAAAGAGGGTATTAACATATTGTGCTGGCCCTGTATGTATGTCTTTTTCTTCATACTTTCATAGCAATTTCCATTAAAAAACCTCATTACAGAGATTATTGTGACATGCTTTGAAACAGTGGCATTCATTGCATATTATCTATGTATTGGAGTCTGGGAAAGTAATGCACCAGGGTCACCAAAGATGTATGTTCAAGTCATGATAAAAATACATAATCTGTTTTGCTCATTCTCTTTTTTTTTTTTTTTTTTTATTTAAACCACATCCTACAGTTGTACATTCAGCTGAAAAAATCTCACCATGATGCTTTTGGTGTCAAACTGTAATTGGCATTTAGCCAACAATTAGTTAAATGCAGCTTGTTTGTGAGCCTTCCCTTCCTTTGCCTTGGAATTCAAAGGATGGAGAGAAAGTGAAGTTACCGGGAAGGAAGTAACTGTGGGGAAAGGTAGGCAGAGATCCAGACATGCAGAGCCCAAGGTGCTGCTCAAGTGATGGAGTGACCATGAGATGTGCAGCTGCTGCTGCTGTTGTGTTTCTTATCCACAGATGATATGTGAATTTCTTATTCACAGAGATATGTGGATTTTCCAGACTTTCAGTACTGGGGAGTAGGTAGAAACAGAGATTAGAGGTAAGAGAGGTGTGAGGAGTGGCTGGAAGGGAGGGGGATGCATGATGGACCTTCCCTTACACTACCTGCTTTGATAGGTCCACAGCTTAGAAGGGTGGTGTGAAGGCTGTGTGTATTTCTGTTTTTATGGGTTGCATCTCCTGCGAAAATGTGACGCTTTAAGTATGAGCCTGCTCCCAAATTATACCAGTAGAGTCAACTTTTGCAATGCCTACAGCTTTCTAACTTGTGACTTGCATGCATGTTGCCCAGGTGTTTAGAGGGAACTTGCATTTCAGTCTTTAGAGGGAGATGCAGGAACACTCCAGTTACAGGCTGCTTTTTTTTAGCAGGTATGACAAGGAACCCCATTCCTGGGGCTAACTGACCAAGAATCCCAGACTTTTGTAGTAACTGTGCCTGTTGTACAGCAAATAAATGTCTTTAGACATTAACATATTAACACTGATACTTAGTCATTATATGGGGGTTGGGCATTAATTTCTTCTGTTTTTCTTTTAATGCCAGATGGAGAGAAACAAGCATGAAATTCAGAGTAATAAAATTTTAATTTATATATATAAATAGGTGAAAAACAGTTTTACTTTAAAGAAATTTGTCTTAATTTCTGAGACTTCCTGAGTACTACATCTTAGCTTTAATTAAAGAAAACAGATGTGTAAAATAATTTTAATACTAATAGTAAAAAACCCACCACATACGTTTGTATTTTTCATTCCACTTTAGATTTTGTGGAACACCACGCATCTGTAAACTACCATACATGTGTGCAGAATGACATAAAGAATATTTCAGGCTAGAGAGAGATACTTTGTCTTTTTGACTCTTCTGCAACTGCAGTTTGAGAACAGCCAGCCACTGAGGTTAAAGATTTAAATGTGGGAACCATACAGATCCTGTGTAGCAGGTTTAAGGTCTGTGATGCCACACAGCATCCAGGAACTGGACCCCTTAAACTCACAAGACCCATTATTTTCCAATACAAAATCTGCAGTTCAGTTTACAAAGCTTCCCATTTCCTTCTTTTCTTACCAGTAATACTTCTGTTTCCTGAGACAAGCTAAATGTAGGGTAATCTTTTGATCTGCTCAAAGCGATAACTTTGTAATGCAAATAAAACAAGACTCATTCTCCAAATCAATTCTCTTCTATTTCAATTTTTGCACTCAGCATCAGATAGGCTACTGACTGGGTATATGTACTTTGCAAATCCAGATTTTGGGTGGATTGGACAATTTCAATTGCTTAATTGAAATCTAAGTCCTACTTTTAGAAAATGCGAAGTTGCTTGAAAGAAGCTTGTTGTGTTGTAGGACTTTATTAGTTCTCAAAACTTGTGCTGCTGTGAAATTCCAGTACTTGCAGAAATTCTTATAATATTGAAGTAATTGAAATAAAAATAATGCACAAATGAAGAGACAAGGTCATTAGAAACTTTAATGAGGAGTCATTTTTATGAAACATTATTTGGAAGGCTAAGCTCAGGTTTCTAGGAAAATATTTTGCATATAGTATTTTCTATTTTTTAAAAAGAACTTCTGATCTGTGAGTAATGTATCTGGTGAATTCAAAGAATAAAACTTCTTCATAAAACAAAAAAAAAGTTCCGGTGAGGGGGAATACATTACTGACAATGAGTGCAATTACCTACAGCTGAGAACATGATTTCTCATACAGGAAAAATTAGGAAGTCACTTGTAAAAATGAAAAATCATGAAGGTTAAAAAAGCCTCCAAACTTTATTGACTTTTCACACTGAACCTCAGATCTCCTCCCTTCCAAGGAGAGGCCATCCAGAAGAAGAAAATTAATAAAATACTTGAATTCTCAGTGAAAATTGTTCTAGATAACAGGAATATAAGGATCATGCCAGCTTACAAGACTGTGGGAAGTAAACTTTAATTTTTTTTCCTAAATTTTAGCAAAAGACACATTATTATCAAGGTATTCATAGATTTTCTTTTGAGATTTTCTAAGAGCAAATCAGGCTCTCATTCAGGTAGTACATCCTCTTGAGTAAAAAACTGATATAGAGTCCAGTTTTTTCATTACTTCACTGTTTGGAGGATTCTGTGTTTATTGATAAGGTAGAGTAAAAATATGTGCAACCACAAAAATGGAAAATTACAGATCTACCTAGGAAGTGGCAATATGAAGTGACTGCAAACAGTAAAAATATTGTATTATCCTAAAGCATACATAGATTGATACAGATAAATATACTCGGTTTTTGGCTTCCAGACATGTTGTTGCACTATAGAAGATGTTTTAAACAGATCTAATGGTAAGTACTGCTCAAGTTTCTGCAGGCTATTACTCACCTCAAATACCCATTTCTGTTATCAGCTTTAGTTCAAATTACATTTTTTTTTTAATTTGAAAATTTTAACCAGCTGATTCAAGCTTACTGTTGACTTCAAATCGATCATATTCCAATTTTAAGCAGCTCCATAAAACTTAGGTTTCTTTCCTAAGAAAAATACATAAAGAGTGTAACAGTGTGGCTTGTTTTCACAAATTTCAACATGAGTCATGAATACTCCGGATTCTTACACCTTTGAGCAAGAATTTTCGAGCTGCATAATTTTTATCCCAAAATATTATCGCATGACAAGTTATCAAAAATAAATTCTCAGTCCTTAAGACACTCCTTTTTATAACTAGTCACAGAATTATGACCTCTAATGTACAGGAACTGTCTTATCTTCTCTTTAGATTTTATACTCCCTGAATAATAGATAAATGTTTGACTGCAGTGTCAGAAAAACTGAGAAATTCTGTTGATTTTGGATACATAGCATGAAACAATTCTGTTTGCTTCTGCTGATGAAACCTAAAGGTTTCCTGCTTCATCAGTTGTCATAGTACTCATGCATACTGCTAGAGAATCTTCAGTAATGAAAACTTTACTCTGAGGTGGATTTGGATAGGAATCTAGACTCTTTCTGATGCAACTGCGCCGAAACCTCAAGCCTGGTGTTTCTTAGAATGTGAAAGTAAAAAGCATATGATGTTTTGCATATTTCAAAAGAAAAACATCCTTTTTACATGAAAGGCACACAGTGCACAGAGATTGCATAAAACTGTGTTGCACTGCAATCACTGATTCCAGTGTTGTTCAAGATGCACCATGCGGGTCTTGTTACTGCACTTCTCCACGTTTCTGGAAGTAAGGCTGCTTTCTTAGTTCTAGTTAACATCTTTCCTTTTTTCATCACATCATGACAGATATGATCAGAATTCACAAGTGTGTTACTGTGTGGTTCAGACAAATTTTAACTATTCAATGATATTCACAAGTTAGAAGTAATAATAATTTCTAAGCTTTGCTTTTTTTGGGTTTTAATGAAAATTTTCTTCAGTATTTGGCTTGTAGTGCTACCAAAGTTGTTTCTGAGTTATTCTAGAATTTCAATTTCCAATTATGTTAATTCTGAAACTGAATTTCTATGTGTTTTAGCCAGCATGGAAGAAAAGTTTGTGGATTCAACTGTAAAACTTACTGAGAAGGTGAAACTGGAAAGTGTATATCCAAAAAAGCCAAGATAATCCAGGCATCCTGGATGAAACATAATGTAACTCATAAAGAAAATACAGCTGTCTTGCATCTCTGCTATGGTATACATGTTGAAGACAAATACAGTGGAAGAATTTATTTTGAAAACGCTTCCATGGAAGGCAAGTCCTTATCCTTCACCAAGGGCACTTTGCAGGATGCTAGTGTTTACTTTTGCTCCATCGTAATTTACTGAGATGGAATCTGGGAAAAGGTTGTAGAAAATATTCTGCCAGGTAAGTAAATCTCTCATTGTTTTTTAAATTTCTGATGTCTGCAAAGCAGAAAGCCATGCCAATTTAGGAAGTTTCTGGTATTGCAATTTTTCTTTTCAGTTATATAGCATGCAGAAATAGAGTAATCTGTGGAAAAGAACAACAGAAAAGAATTATATTACTTTGACAAAATGTCATTTTAAGAGAAGCAGGAAGTTAAGAAGGGGAAATTGAGGATACAGAAAGAAGTCACAGCAGCAATGTATTACATGACAGACTTCAGGTACTAAGGGTCAATATAATGGTGATATTTCCATTGGGCCAAGTTTCTTGTAGCATTTCAACAAGCTTTAGGACCTCTTCAGAGGATGAAATTGCAACTACCCATGAAATTACAGGGGTGAAACTTGTAACTACCCATGGAGTGTATCATATTTTTATCTTTACGTTGCATG